CCCCTGGCTCCTGCACAACCCCCCTACCATCTGCTCTCACCCTCACTTCACTCCAAGTGTCCTTCCCGCCTACTTGACCTATACCATTCTTATCAGTCTTTGAAGACCCACTAAATATTCCTGCCTCCAGGAAGCCTTCCTGATTGTTCCCACCCATTCTAACCCCATCTCTGACCTTCTGTTTCCATCCAGGGTCCACATTCCCCATTGTCTCCTTGTGACATGTTTTGCTTCACATGTAACTGAACAGGAATTTGCCTCACCAGCCAGTCTAGAAGACCCATGTCTGCTCATCACAGCCTGGCCAAACACCTGGCGAGGCTCAAGGGAGAGGCTCAGATCTGTCCATTGGCTGAGGCTCCTAGGCCCTGCTGGTCACCGGCTCTCTCCAGAGAGTGTTGGTGATGGGTATCCTTAGAAGAGCGATGAGAGGGGAGCAGGTTTGCTCTCTCACACGTGCCACTGCGGCTGTTGGAACTGATGTGTTGGGAGTTGGGGGGACTGGATCACCACTTCCTTTCATCCCAAATCTGAACTCTCTGAGCCCAGCACACCAGGCAAGGTGCCCGTCCCAGCCAGCCGACCTGCCTTTCCTCACCACGGCCCTCTGCTCCTTAGAAGAGCGATGAGAGGGGAGCAGGTTTGCTCTCTCACACGTGCCACTGCGGCTGTTGGAACTGATGTGTTGGGAGTTGGGGGGACTGGATCACCACTTCCTTTCATCCCAAATCTGAACTCTCTGAGCCCAGCACACCAGGCAAGGTGCCCGTCCCAGCCAGCCGACCTGCCTTTCCTCACCACGGCCCTCTGCGCACCTTCATCCTTTCATCCCAAATCTGAACTCTCTGAGCCTAGCACACCAGGCGAGGTGCCTGTCCCAGCCAGCCGGCCTGCCTTTCCTCACCACGGCCCTCTGTGCACCTTCAGGTAGCCAAAATGGTGACATGGGTCTGAAACTACAGCCAGAGGTCAGTAAAGAGACCAGATCTATCTATACGCAACTGGCTGTAGGGCCACTGGCCTGGTAGTGCGTGCACATGTGTGTGTGTGTGTGTGTGTGTGTGTGTGTATGTGTGTGTGCAGAGAAAGAGTGAAGGCAAAGCTAAGTGCAAACCCCTGCCAACCAACAGCAGCAGAAATCGCACTGTCTCCCGAGAGCTTCTCCAGTTCCTAGCCATCCTCATCTCAGCATTGACGAGAGCAGAGCAGGCAGCTTCTCCCCAGAGAGCCCCAGGGTTAGCTAGGGAACTGGGTGTTACAGACTTCAGAGGCTGACAGGCGGCAAACCTCAAGACACCTCTTGCACTCACACCCAGAAAGGCGCATCTACAAAGAGCCCCAGAAGCTAGCGGTGCGGGGTCACAGAGGGTGCACAGGTAGGCACGCAGGTACAGAGGCACATGGGGCTCTCACACAGGCATGCCAGTAGTCAGTATAGCAGATGGGCAGGCAGACCATGGGCGAGGGATCCCAGGCAGATATGTGGACATAGGCTTCCCACATGACCCCTTCCAGAGCCCCCAGATCAATCTTCTCAGGTGAAAGGAAGCCCCTGACTGGTTGGCAAGGTAACAACAGTCCCTTGCCCTCTCCCCTTTCCTTGCAGCCACTTAACCTTTCTTTGAGGCCGCAGGGCAGCTCAGCTTTCCTCCCCTGGCCTAAGAAGAGCTCTGTCTGGGGGTTGTGGGGTTTGGAAGATGGAGGTTGAAGTCTACACCGTTGCTGCATTCTAAAGCCTGGCCCTATCGCCCAGAGAAGGTGGTCAGACAGTGAGGGAAGAGGAGGCTTCCCAGCTTTACGGGCTGCTGCACTTGCCTGGGCTCATGCATAGCATCAGGCCTCTGGGCAGGCTGTCCCCACCACTGCCAGCAGGCCCCATGCATCAGGGCATCCATGGGCAAGCTGGCCTCTGGCCAACAGAGTGCAGCCTCGAGGTCAGTGCCTCAGGGCTGAGGGGGGCTGCATGAGCTCTGATGGCTCTGCTCTGCATAGGCACCCCTTGAAGCTGGCCACCATTTGGGCATAATTACATCAGCAGAGCTGGGGGGACGCCCTGGGGACAGTCCCAGGCTGGGAAAGCCCTGTAAACTGAGCAGTGGGATTGAATTCAGGGAGGGGACCAGAGCTGCCCCTCAGAGTCAAGCTGAGGAAATTATTTTGTTTTGTTTTAAAAGATTTTTGCTATAGTAAGATGAGAGAGAGAGAGAGAGAGAGAGAGAGAGAGAGAGAGAGGCAAAGTGAGAAATCACCCCCCAGGGAAGATGGCCATGCTGCAATCCCTCATCCTCCATTGTCCTCCTGGGACGTACATGCATTTAGGCCGGATCTGGGATTTGAACTATGCAGGCAGTCATGTGGGATCCAGCACCTTAACCTCCACAAATAGGTTCATACTGAGGGCAGTGCCCCTGTCTGGGCTGCCAGATGTCACCCCTGCTATGGAATCTCCCTTTTCCTCCTGGCCATACTACACTGGCAGCATAGCAGAATTCCTGCTCCCTTCATCCCGGCCGGCTCTCTGCCCACCTCCTCCAGAGAGTTAGCAGGCTGCCTCTTCTTCATTCAGGCCAAGATCAGCTCCTCAGAGGGGCCCTCCCTGATCCCACTAGTAAACAGAAATCCTCACGCCATGTCTTGGTTTGCTCCCCTCATGGCATTTGCCACTGCATGACAGCCGAGCAGAGGTCTCTCCCATAGAACACAAGCCCCCTGAGGGCAGAGACTTTGGCCTGGTTAGTCCCAGAATTCCCAGTGCACACACAGAGAGCATGCATCAATTTGCAGAATGAACACGGGCAGGCATGCACATGCAACTGACACGTGAGTCCTAGATGACAAACATGTGCATGCACATATATGCAGCCCATACCACACCCATACACGCACTTGTGAGCGGACACAGGACTGCACATGCAACTGACACGTGAGTCCTAGATGACAAACATGTGCACGCACATATATGCAGCCCATACCCACACCCGCACACACACTTGTGAGCAGACACAGGCATGCACATGTAACTGACACGTGAGTCCTAGATGACAAACATGTGCACGCACATATATGCAGCCCATACCCACACCTGCACATGCACTTGTGAGCGGACACAGGCATGCGCGTGTCTCACTTGGCTCAGCTCTTCAGAGCCTGCAGGCAGCGTGATCACCCACGTCTCCCCATCCAAGAGCCTTCAGCCAGCCTCTGCTCAGCCCTCCTGTGCTAACTTGGCCTGACACGCCAGTTGCACATGGGGCCTCCCGTGGAAGCCGCGGCAAGCCCACCACCATTGTGGTGGCTGCTAATTGGCTCTGTGTTGGGCCTTGGGTCACCGCTCGGTCAGCCATGGCTGATACCTTCTTCCCACTTGTCTCAGAAAAGGCACTGCTGTCCCCTCTGCTTAGGCCTCAGCAGGCCACTGAACCGCACATGCCTGGCCACGTGGGACCCACTGGGCCAGCCAGCTCCTCTGATGGTGGCCCCCGCCCCACTCACTCTCGGGAGAGAGCAGAGATAGCTCAGTAAAAAGGACTGGCCTGGGTGGGCAGTGTCCAAGGGGTGTCTGAGGGGAGGAGGAAGGGCCCAGCCCTGACACCTGTGTGTAACCCATGACCGTGCCTGCAATGCCACTGTTAGAAGCACAACGCTCTGGGCCAAGCCCTGCTGTCTTTCGGGATTTCTCTTAAAGCCCCCTAATTGGGAGGGGGCGGGGTCCTGCAGGGTAGGAGGTAGGCAACATCACCAACTGGAATCTTCCAATCGATGCTTGCTTACATCCATCTGCCAAGTCTCCGGAGCTTCATGCTGTTATGCCCCTTGACATCTGCTTCCAGGGATCTTCAGGGGACCGCTTTCAGAGTGCAGGCAGCACCCCAGCTTACTGGCCATCACAGCCAACTCTCAGCTCCTAGGGCCCTGGGAAAGTGAAGGTGCTTAGCCTCAGCAAAGGCTGGTGTGCTGGTTTCTCTGACCTTCCTGCCAGTGAGGTTTGAGGGTGAGGTGGGGACAGTGAAGATGGGGACCATGCCTGGGCCACCAGAAAGCTCAAGGCCTGGGTGCAGGGGTTGTCTCTCCACTCCCATTTTTAAATGCCTACAAAGCTCAGTTTATACCCTTCACATTTCTATCAAGGTCTATGCTTTTTTTGGGGGAGAGGTTTTTGCAATAGGTCACGTGCGCTCACCAGAAAGACAGAGAGACAGAGAGACAGAAAGTGAGAAATCACTCCCCCGAGGGGGATGGTCATGCCACAATCCCTTCTCCTCCATTCTCTTCTCGGGATCTTGGGCACGCACGCACACGCGCCAGGCAGGAATTTAAGCCAACAAGTCGAGGCCTTGAACCGTGATCGACGAACTACATGGGAGTTCAGCGACATAGCCATTACGCCAACTGCTGTCCCAAGGTCTACACATTTAAAGGGCCCACATCTCCTCCTAGTTTGAGACTAGAATACCTGTCATTCTCTATGCTATCCTCAAATCCTGCCTCCTCCAGGCAGTCTCTCTGACTGCTGCTATTGCCTGGTCTTTCAACCTATGGCTCTGGCCTTGCCCCAGGAGTGGGCTCTGCAGATCTGACAGCAGTTGTGGACAGCGGCATGCTTCTTCTGCTTTTCTTCCCCCATGCTCCAGCTGACTGCAAAAAAGACCCCATTGGTTCAGTAACCCCGATGGTCTCCCTTGGTGCAGTCCATCACACAGACAGAAACAGGAGGCTGGGGAGGGCCCGTGAGAGGCTCTGAACAACACCTCCTGGGCCTAGTCTGGCCCCTGCTCTGGATCTGGAGAGCTGAAAGCCATATTGCTCTTTCTCCTTAAGGTGCTAGGAAAGGCTGGGGCTGGCCAAGATCTTATGGAAACAGAACCTGGAGAAGATGCTGAGCTGCCCCAGGGAAGAAAAGAGAAAGGAGGATGGTGGAGTACCAGTTCCACTCTGCCACCATGTTGGGATTTAGCGTTGTCCATCTTCCTCAGGCCTTGAACCTCTAAGATGGCTCCAGGGAATGGCCCCCAGTTGCTGGTCATTCTGACTCACTGGGACACAAAGTTCAGGCCTGGTACCTTGGTGTGGCACCTGGAGGTTTGTGTTGTGGTTTTTGAGTAGAGTCCAGCATTTATAAGTCAGTGGATTCTAAAAAAAGAAAGAAAGAAAGAGAAGAAAGAAAGAAGGAAAAAAATTAAAAATAGATAATTCCACTTCTGGCTTGATTATCCTTAAAATCTGCCCATGGGATTAGTGAATTGGTATAGGGCTTCTGGGCCCATAAAGTGTGTAGATCCATGTTGTCCTCCAGGGTGTTCTGAAGTATAATTAAGAGAAAATTTGTGGTGTGCACAGGAGGAGCAGACTCTCAGAACATTCTGGGGACTTACTACCTCTTGGGAGACAAGACCTCTTCGTGCAAATAACCTTGCTTATTTAGCCATTAAACAGGATGAAACAGGTTTCTCTCCTTTGAGGTTTTTCCGAGCCTTAATGTACTGATGGGCATTGCTACTCTCCAAGGTAAAGGTGGGGCAGGTGGGTTTTTAAGGAGTCCACATTCCCAAGGATCACAGCCCTTTGTTCCGGAAGTGCCAATTAACATCTCCCAAAGGAACAGTGTTTGGGCAACACTGTCCAGTTGATTTGTGGAGTAATATCTTGCTCTGTCCTTGGTAGTCATATAAATCCCGCCCTCCCACATTATTGGAAGACAGTTTTATAACACTGAAAACCAAA